CTCCTCCTCCTCCTCCTCCTCCTCCTCCTCTTCTTCTTCTTCCTGCCTTGTGCAGGTCTTGCAAACTGCGGGCCGCGGCTTCCTAGCTGGAGCCAATCGCTCTCCTCTGTTAGCTCTTCCTCTTTTCCTGCTGCCTTCGACTTTTCCTAGCACGGTTGTCTTTCCCACTGATTCTTGTCTTCTCGCAATCTGACCAAAGTACGATAGCCTCAGTTTGGTGATCTTAGCTTCTAGGGAGCATTCAGGCTTGATAATGATTTATTAGGGGAGGGGGACAGTTAATGAAGCAATACACTGGACTGCCCCCTCCTTCGGTTCTCCTGGTCAGAAATGTGGATTTAGAATTCTGCTTTCCGCACCGAAAGGGCAGGACCAACCCCCCCCCTTTTTTCATCCCCCTAGGAGGAGGTTTTTATTGGGGGGGTTTCAGACTACAAAACTACAACAAAAAATATAGGAAAGGGTACTACATCTAGGGAATAAAGAAAAAAGACCCACAACTAACTGAAAACCCAAGAGTAGGAGATCATACATCAGCTTAACACCATGCTATTTTCAAAAAGCTACTAATAATACAATGAACTTAGTCGGTTATGCTAGATTAATTATCATTTAACCATCCCTTTAACTAAAGAAATTCCAAGATCATCCCCAAGTTATTTCAACATTTTTTCAGGCACAAATCAAAGTCCTTCAGCCCTTATTTATTCTTATCTTTTCTAATCCTCAGTTTATAAGGGCTTTGGGGGGCAGCTGCCCCCTTTTCGGAAGGGGAATCCTCGTCCGATTGTGTGCGGCGAAAGATGGCGATTCGGAAGGGCTAAGATAAAGCGCGGGCCTCTTGCGAGCTTCTTTCCAAGAAGCTGGTTTGAAAAAAAGGGACAAAATGTTCTCCTTTTTTTTGTCTGACAGCGTTGTGTACCCTCTCTAGGCACCGACAACATCGAGTTCCAGTTTGCGGTGAACAACGACACCACGGAATATCAGGTCAAGGACTTGGAGCCCAACACAAACTATGTTTTCTACGTGGTGGCCTACTCGCAGCTGGGAGCCAGCCGGACGTCCTCGTCCATCGTTGTCCGGACTCTGGAAGACGGTTTGTTGGGCCGGGGTGGAAGAAACACCTCAAAATCCTTCCTCTTTCTCTGACACTGAGAGAAAGAGCACAGAGTTGGTTCCATCACAGTACGGTGTGATAATGCAGCCAGAAATGCTGTGATGTGGGGAGGGTTTGGCACCCCTCATTTGCGTTTTCCTGCACTTGGGGACAATGCTCTCTCTAAGCTGTGGAGTCTTTTGAGCAAAAATTCTACTTTGTCAGCTACTGGCATTAAAGTTGTGATCGAGCGATTTGGCTGCTGCATTAATCAGTTTGCTCTGGAGCCATCCTTCCTGAGCGGAGACAAAAATGTGTGAGCCGGAGGCTAAAAAACTGTGAGCTGGCTCACACTAACTCAGCTTAGAGGGAGCACTGGCTGCAATGCTTCCTCTAAGCTGTGGAGTCTTGTGAGCAAAAATTCTACCTTGTGAGCTCCTGGCATTAAAGTTGTGAGCAAGCGATTTGGCCGCCGCATAAATTAGTTTGCTCTGGAGCCCTCCTTCCTGAGCAAAGATAAAAACCTATGAGCTGGAGGCTAAAAAACTATGAGCTAGCTCACACTAACTCAGCTTAGAGGGAACACTGGCTGCAATGCTCCCTCTAAGCTGTGGAGTCTCGTGAGCAAAAAGTTTACTTTGTGAGCTGCTGGCATTAAAGTTGTGAGCGAGCGATTTGGCCACTGCATAAATTAGTTTGCTCTGGAGCCATCCCTTCCTGAGCAAAGATAAAAACCTGTGAGCTGGAGGCTAAAAAACTATGAGCTAGCTCACACTGACTCAGCTTAGAGGGAACACTGCTTGTTGAAATAGCAAACAGCTGATGACTGGGGAGGAAGAGGGGTGACCAGTCAGGGCTGCAGTGAATGACAGGGCATTCCCTCTTGAAGCCGTCCATGCTTGTAGCCGCCACCACCTCCTGTGGCAGTGAATTCCAAGTGTGAATCACTCTTTGGGTGAAGAAGGACTTCCTTTTCTCCGTTCTAACCTTGACCGCTCAGCAATTTCATGGAGTGCGCATGGCGTGATGTGGGCCATGGGGTCGCGGAGAGTCGGACTCGACTGTGCGACTGAACAACAACACCTGGATGGGGCAAGTGGAAGGGACTGAACATCTGTGCGGCTGCTTTGTAGGCCCAGAATGTTTGCAGGTGGGATGTATTTACACGGACGTCCAGGGAGAGTGTGAGCTGGACACGGCCGAGGGGCCGTGCTCGAAAGTCACAATGCGCAAAAAGCTGATTTGCGCAAGCACTCATGACCACTGTCCTTATGCGCTCACAACTACTAATTAGGATGAGCCACGTCGTTAGGGGATTCGAGCACCAAGGGGGTCCCGGACAACCCAATGGGAGGGAGACGAGTGGGCTCAGAGACGTAAGAACATAAGAGACGCCAATGTTGGATCAGG